TCCAGACCTTTCGTGGTCCTTTGTATTCTGGGTGTCCAGAAGAGGGCTGTGATTGTGTTGGTGTGGGAAGCAAGGCCCTGCGTGGCCCCATGTGGCTCGCCCTGCTTCTAACTCGAAGGAATCCTAGTGCAGATCTAAGAGAGGTGAGAGGTTGAACTCTGCGCGTGGAAAGCAGGGACCTGGCCTGTGACCTGCCGCATCACCAGCCTCCCCTTTTGGGGTTTCCTTTCTGGAAACCACCGACAGCTCTCCTATTCTGGAGTGGACACTCCCCCCCCAGTCCAGTTTTTTAAATTATTTGACCAAAACCAAAGTTTTCCCAGGAAGCCTTCTTTCTGCCCCTCTTCTACCAGCTCAGCCCTAAATGCGACCAGTGAAGGGAGCAGAGCCCAGGAAAATTGCTCTCTCTTTTTTTTTTGAGTCTGGCCCTGCTAGCTGAGGATATGGGAAGGTGTCGTCTGAAGGAGCTCCATTTATGAGCCCTGGGTCGGAGGAGATCCTCCCAGCCGGAGCAAGTTTCACAAGAGGGGAAGGAGCGCTCCAGGAAGTGCAGCCCCTTCCAGCACAAACTGGCCCCGCTCCGCCCCCCCCCCACGTGCTCATCATTGGAGAGAGGAGGGGCAGCATTCCCTTGCCGACAACTCGAGCTCGCTTCCTTCTTCGGGGGGAGGGGGGAGGAAGGCTCTGCTCCGGTGCCTGCGGTTCAGATCCGGAGGGGCTGGTGGGCAACACAGCGGAGCCTTCCTAGCAACCCATCCCATCCTTGGGCTCTGCCCACACAGGTCTCCTAGCAACCTGTTCCCTCCTCCAGGTTGGAAATCTTTTCAGCCCTGGTGGTATCCTAGCAACTCCTCCCCCCTCCTTGGCTGGCCCACAGCGGGGAGGGGGGGCTTTCCATCACTTTCCATTTCTTCGCACCAGCCACCCAACATATCGTATCCATTTGCAGCCGGGCGGCCCTTGTGAGGCTCCCAGGAGCATCGGCTGGCAGCCTCCGTTTTGCACATGGTTGATGCCGACTTGTGGCAACGCTTTTCAGGGTATTCCGGAGAGAGAATCCTCAGAAGGGGTCGACCCTGGAGGCGCCCTGGGGTTGTGCAGCTCGCCCAAGGCCACACAGGCTGGCTTTTCTCGCTGGCTCTCTGGGTCAGCAGCCAGAGACTGAAACCACTGAGTCGGAGGGGCTTCTCCCCCCCCCGCACATACACTATCGCCTGGGGAGGGTGCCTCCTCTGTTGCTTCTGGAGTTCTGACATCTCTGATGGCTGCCTGAGTCTTCTGGGCAGGCAGCCACCCACAGAGAAATCCTAATTTCTCCCCATTTCTCTGTCACCCTCCCCCTCTCAGGAGAGAAGCCCTACAAGTGCACCTGGGAAGGCTGTCCCTGGAAGTTTGCTCGCTCGGACGAGCTGACCCGGCATTTCCGGAAGCACACCGGCATCAAGCCGTTCCGCTGTTCGGACTGTGACCGCAGCTTCTCGCGCTCCGACCACCTGGCTCTGCATCGCCGGAGGCACATCATGATGTGAGGGGGGGTGTTTGAGCCTGCCCCCTCCGATCGGGCCACCAAGGGAAGAGGGAGCGGCTTCCTACAGTGGCGGCCTGATCCTCGCCTGATTCTTGCCTCTGCTGCGGACACGGCCGGCCGGCGCCAGCCACCCTGCAGCCTCTTCCTCCATCCTGGTCCTTGCCCTTCTCAGACTGAGCCACGACCTCGTTTGGCCTCCCAGCAGCCTGCTTTCTGCCCACCGGCTGAGAAGGAGCTGTTTCCGGGGAAAGGCAGTGTTGGGAGGTGCGTTCGCACGTACTGGAGTTGCAGGCCTGTGGAATCCTTGTACAGAAGGGGCAAAGCCTCGCTGGCAGGAATGGACGTGCTTTGGTTGGGGGGGCGCTCGCTGCCTGCTTCAGTAGGGGTCCGTGCCAAGAAAGGGGGGAGGCAAAAGGTGGCCCCCTTCTTTCTGTTGGGTGGAATAAAGTGCAGCCCAGTGAGGAGGAGCCTTGCCAACCCCCCCAGGCCCCTTGGTCCTCGAGGCTGGTGTGGAGTCTTGAGTTCTTAAGGAGGGGGGCCCTGGGAAGTGCACAAAAACCAGAACCCCCCCCCAAACCAGGAATCACTGGGGAAGAAACAGGACTCAGAATAGACTGGTTTTTAATGAACGTTTTTAACGAGCACTGAAGCAAAGTCTATATTTGAAATCTGACTTGGAACCCTCGGTTTGATCTTCACATGTTCAGAACTGGATGTGTTTGGCATGATTCCTCTGTGGATTTTGAGGTGAGCTTTAGAGCTTCTTGAAGTCTGGACTTTATACTTCAGCCTCCCCTGAAACCGATGACCTCAAGAGACTGATTTCATGGATTTTTTTTGGTGAAAATTTTTGTTCCACCGTTATTTTCTTTTTGAGTTCTGAAAATTGTTCATCTTTGGGAACTCTGTGTGTGTGTGTGTGTGTGTGTGTGTGTGTGTGTGTGTGTGTGAGTGAGTGAGTGAGTGTTGGAAGCTTCTCACGTGGTCTGATCTGTGGACGGCAGCTGATTCCATCTCGGGCGTTGGACTGCTCCATATCTTTCCCACGGGGTCACAGGCACCCAGGAGTGATTTACCCAAGAGGGAATATGGTTGTGCTGATTGGAAGACTGCAGAGGAGGGGGGGGGGACAGAGAATTCTTGGGGAGCAGGGAAAGGGAAAACATCCACAGAATGCAAGTGCAGAGTTTCTTGAATTTGTCTCCCTGTTTGGGACTGAGAACAGAAATGAGTTTTTGCAACACAGTCCGCTGGACATGAATGAGTGTGTGTGAGGGTGTGTGTGTGTGTGTGTGTGTGTGTGTGTGTGTGTGTGTGTGTGTGTGTGTGTGTGTGTGTGTGTGTGTGTGTGTGTGTTGAGGATGGGGATTCTTGCAACACAATGGGCTCAGGCAGCAGCCTGGGATTGCAGGGGATGTATGGAGGTCTTGATGAACAGACACCCAGAAAGATTTTTAAAACTTGTCTTGTTTCCTTTCCTTGCTCTTGGGAAAGTCAAACATGAACATGGTTTTCCAGAAACTCTCTCCTGTGTTGGTCTTCTCTCCCTCGTTGTCTCCCCACTGGCAAATTCAGAGGAGGGTGTTCATTCCTGCCATCGGGTTAGCCTTCAGCCTCCAAGTCAGGATGGGGCCTCGAAGGAGCCCTAGAAGTGAACAAGAGGAAGGCGTGCTTGGTCTCAGGTAACCTCAGGGTACCCCTTGCAAGCAGGAAAGGCCTGTGGGGTGGGAGCAGGGGTGGGTGGGGGTGTGCAGATGCAAGAGAGCAAGGCCCTCCTGATCCCTCTGCTAATTTGCACAAACTTGCTGAGGTGGACGTTCCCCCACCCGCCTGCAGAAATCTCCACCTGAAAAGGAGAGTTTGGTGCGAGCCTTCCCCTTGCTGTGCAAAACAGAACATGCCCTCTCTTAATGGCCTTGGAGCACTCGCGCTATGTATTGGGTCCATTTCACTCCTGCCTGCTTGTGTCTGCCCACGTGGTCTTTGACACAAAAGATTTCGCCGGCCATCACTCAGGGCCTCCCCCCTTGCCATCCCAGAGACCCATCCCTGTGTTGCAGGCAGTTCCAAACGGGACACTTCCATACAAGAATCCCAGATGTCCTCAAGGGGGGGGGGAAGAGGGAGGGGGCAGGTGTCCCCCAGCATCCTGCTCCTTAACCTCATGCTTTTCTACTTCTTTCCAGTCTGGCAGCAGGTCTCCAGCCTGGTCCTTTGGGGTATTTATCACTTCTCAGAAGCCGCCAAGGGTAACGGGCAATAATGGGTCATCTCTCCAGCCCTGGGCAGCCACTCACAGCTGTTCTGTTCCTTGAAAATGGGGGCATTGAGAAGACAAGGTGAGGGAAGATCAACCGGGGTAGCCTGGGCAAATCTTCTGCCTGCTTGTCATTGCCCCCGCCCCCGTGCCCCATGTTCCTTGTTGATTCACGAGTCTGAACTGCTCCGTGCAAGCCAAATGTTTGAGGCCTTTGAAAGAGCATGCATTTCTCTCCTTCCAAACGTATTGCTCTCTGACTAATCCTTGCTTGAGATCAGAATTAGCAGATTACAGCAGCAGCTTCCACACTAGCTGTGAACCCCGCCTGCTTGGACCATGCAGTGGGTGTGACGTGTGGTTTTGTGTTGGGTATTTTTTTTTCCAGCAGAGGGCACTGCAGGATTCTCTTAAATATTCCTTTTTAAAAGATCTCAAATGTCTGTATTGCCTGCAGGGCAGTTGGTGTTTGCTGTCTACTTGCATCAAACCTTTCAGGAAGCAAAGCAGATTTATGCCGGAGTTGGCGTCTTCTGCTCTGAGAAGACTACTCTGGTGGCAGGAGCTGGGTAAGCGGGCTGGAGTCGGGCGGGGGGCAGCTTAAATAGATAATTGCTCCAGTCTAATACCTGGGAAGGTGGTAATCTATTATGGCGTATTTCCAGGTGTCCTCATCCCCCCCCCCCGAGCTTGGAGAACCTCCCACAGCTCCTCAGCATGGTCTGTAGCCACTCATCCTGGGGGTTGCCGGGTTGTGTGTGTTGATTATTGTACTCCAGAAACAGACTTTTCTGAACTATTGTTCAAGCATATTTAGCAATACAAGTAGAATGCAAGCTATTTTTACAAAATGTTCTCTGAAAAAGTTTTCTGCCTAAATGGGCATGAGCTCCTTCCTCTGGAGGGACCGGTAGCGTGCCAGGTGGAGGCTGTGCCACCTCTTCTTCTTCTTCTTCCTCCTCCTCCTCCTCCTTTGTCTGCTGCCACTCTTGGTAACTTGGTCAGTTAATAACCCAGCCTGGCTCCGGTTGGCTGGCAGATGGCCGGCTCCGACTTTGCCTTTAATCTCACTGTAATTAAGCAGCAAATGGAAGAGGATAGCTGAGGGCAGGGCCCTGTGGCTCCAGCTTGAGCAGCGGCTGGTGTGGCCGAGTCCAGGATGCTCGGCCTTCAGTTCCTCCTGAGGTGCGCTTGGCACCTTGGCGGTGCACGTCCAGGGAGGTTGTGCGAAAGAGACCGCCCCTGCTGGGGCTCTGCCCCCTCCCTGAGTGCCACGGTCTTTGCTTTGTGGGTTGCATGTGGGGGCACAAGGCAGTGTGGCGCTATGCCACTGGGGCCTCTGCTTGGGTGTTCCAGCAGCATCCTGGGCTATGGCCAGAGATGAACATGGCAGTTCAGCAGGAATCAGACCAAACTGCTAGGATCCACCCACATCATTTTGCATCAGGATAACAACCACCTACAGAGGGCAGAAAGCATGCAGAGAAGGTAATTAAGGGGCGCGAATATATCGCGCTCTTGGTGGAGGAAAACCAAGAGGTAGCTAAGGAGGGAAAGATTCAGAAAGCAGACGGCAGAGGAGTGACTATGTTCTCCTCTCTTGTGGTGGTTCTCAACCTTCGTTCCTCCGGCTGTTAATTAGTCGTGCGGCTTGTCTAGGAATTCAAGCGAGGGTCTTTCCTGCATCTCCCGCCCCACCCAAATCCCAGTGGAAGGATTGGTAAAAAAAACCCCTCACACACACACACAACTGCCCGTCCCCATTAGTTGGCCCTGTTGCTTTTTTCCTACATATACATCCCACGGGGTTCTGCCCACACGGGGGGCCTCCACTCCCCATGAAACTTGGGCTGGTGTCACAAAGCCCCCCCCCCGGGAGTTCACGGCCACCTCCTCCTCCTCCCCTCCTTGCCTTGCACCCGTCCAGGGGTATTTCCACCTTTGACAGGTGGCGAATTTTCTTCCTGTTAAAGAAACCAGATCTCCGTGTCTGGAGTTGCTGAGACCACGGACAAATAAGCCGTTGGGTGTTCCTTTTGCTCTGTGCTGGCTGGTGATTGGGGGGGGGCACTCTTTGTTCTATAGAGGAAAGTGGTGACGCCATCCGTCCTTCCATGTGTCCCTCTGTGCCCTTTTCTTTGCTCCGGAATCATGGAGCCGGAATGGGGGCCGTTGCCTGAGGGAGGCTGTGCGGGGAAGGGGCAGGAGGGGAGGCCTCTGTGCTCTGAGGCTTTCTTGTGTTCTCCAGTTGCTGCAATAGTTCAGGAAGGAGGAGAGAGAGGTTTGAAGGTGTTTTTTGGGATGGTGAGGTTGAGGAATTGTGCCAGAGCAGAAGAGGAGTGGTGTGCAAAAAGCTAGGAGAGGAGGAGTGTTTACCTACACTCTCTAAAAACGAAGCTCCCTTACTCCAAAAGGAAGGAAGCCGACTGTGGGGGAAGGTGATGAATTCCCACCTGGACTGAGGAATCTGCTACCAACCTTTCTGGGTTTTCAAATGGTGCAGCTTGTGGCTGCCCCTCAGAGGCTGCCCACCAGCTACAGACCACCGAGAAAAGGGGCCTGTGGCGATTAGATCTGGCCGGTGCCCTCAGATTTTATTTGAAATGGCCAAGTGGTGCCTGGATCCCCCTTGCGAAGCAGAGGGGGACGAAGTAAAGGAAGTAGGTTTGTGTGTGTATCCATGTGTGCACCACATTGTCCTGCGCAAGGCCTCTCATTCACTCTCTGGTGCCAGCGCACAGACAGGTTCCATACATGGGAAGTGATTTTCCAGAGGAGAAGCAGGATATTGCCCCTCCCTCCCCACTAGGAGTCTGGTGCGTCATGCATGCCATGCTACAACCTCCAGTTTGCTTTGTACTGTATCCGCCCTTTCCAAATACTAACAGATCACACACACACACACCAGACTTGACTCCTATGGCAGTGGTGATAATGCACTGGTTGTATTTCATTCCCTTTCCTGATATCTTGCAAAAGTAATACACATATGGATTTTAAAGTCTTCCAAGGAAGAAGAAACTCAGGCAACAGCAGTTTTCTGTTCATTTTTTATTGATTTTTTTAAAAAAAAGACCAGAGAGAGAGAGATTCAGTCTTCTAAACCAGCCCCCCACTCCACCCCAAATGCCATGGGGCAGTTGGGAGAAGCATCAATAAATGTGGGGAGAGAGCTTGTGAGTGCCACCAACCTCTTATAAGGGGATAAGAGGGAAATGCCAGGGTTTTTTTGTTCTGTTCGTGGACGTCTGCAATGCTGCAAGCTTTCAGCAACCTGGTGCAAGCCCCAGGCCGTTTCTTAGCTGACAGATGCATTAAAGTGTCCCAGATGCTTAGCAGGGTGGATCCCATACACTGAATGATCCTTTGCCCCATTCAGTGAATTTACAGACCACTCAAATGCTGCTGGGTTTGAAAACTGGAAATGTGGGTCTTTCAAGGAAAAAGGGGAGGTGATGGGAGGAGGGGGGCGGAATCAGGTTTTTGGCCTTTAGAAGGACGAACACCATCCCAAGTCACCACTACAGTTTTATTACAAAATATCACGTCAATTATATCTGTCCAAAGAAGCAAATACAAACTGTCCAGCCACGCTCTCCAGTTCTCCAAATCTCAGTTCTGCGTTCATGTTACATATAAAAACAGGGGAAAAAAATAATTCTTACTCGGCGTATATAAAATTTTGTACAGTTCTCCTTCCTATATACAAAGACACCTCCAGCTTTAGGGGCAAAAAGACAAAAGAATCAACAAGAGATGTTTGAGCCTCCGGTTTTGTTCTCAACAAAATGGGGAGGGGGGGTTGAACGGTGCCCTTCCCACAGCCTGGCGGAGGCAGCATACCCCGCCTGGCGAGGGTAGGGGGGAGAGGGGGCAAGTGCTGGAACCCCTTGTCTCACGCACTGAACACTTGCCACATTCAGTGTCTGCTTCCTAACATGGCTAGATCTCCATCATCATGGAAAGATAAGGGAACTCCAACCAGTGAATGCAATCACGGGCATGACCTGGTCAGAGAGAAAGGGCCTGATTCTTTTAGCTGGAAACTTAGCTACATTTACCCACTGAAATCAAGGGGACTTCAAGGGAGCAAGAAGACTTAGCATTAAGGGCTCTGTGCCGCCAAACGTAGCAACGTCTAAGGCACTGGGTCTGAAAAGGAGCAGATCCTATAAATAGATATTTTAGTCTCTCTTCCCCTTCCCCAATGGCTCTGCTATAACTGGGGAAGTCGTCATGCTACTCAGAGACTTTGGCGCACATGGACGCATGCCCAGTAGGAGACAGACACCTTGCCTTAAGCTAACTTTAGTCCCGTATTTTTGCTATGTACAAGGAGCCTGCCCCCCCCCCTTCTTGGGGCATGGCAATCCGCGCCCACCTTCCTGTGCTGCCTGGCACAGAAGGAGGCTTGAGACACAACCCACCTGCCGGTAAGTCTGCATGCTCTAGTTTTCGTGTAGCCCTCTTTGACAGGCGCCATGATCTTCGGGGTAGGCTCCAACACACACGAATTGCAGCCAGTGTGCCTTGAGCGCCCCAGATGCATGGATGCCGGGCGGGGGGGGGAGAGGGGCACTGCCTTCTTGGAAGCACAAGCCCTGCTGGGCAAACATCGGGTAAAGGAGCCCACCCGGAACCCCAGAATTACACCTTACCTTGGTTTGGGCTAAAGTCATCCTGACACAGTCCCTTGTCAGCTGATTTCAAAAGCAAAACTGGCCCCGGGGGCCTGTTTCGGAGTCAACATCGGAGCGCTTAGAAAGGAAGAGGCCCAGGGCTAGTTCTCAGCCAAAAGTTCCAGGCAACTCAAACCATGCTTCCACATACCATGGGGAGGAAGGACAAGGGAGCGGGGGGAAGAGACAGCCCCCCCCCCAGCCATTGCCCTTCGGTCCAGAAGAACCATTTCTGCTAGAGAGGCAGTCCACAGAAACATCTGAGTTTGGGGTGGTTTGTTCTTTCTTTTATTTTTGCCACTCTCCTTGTGGCTCTTTAGCTTTGTAGTTTCCCTCTTGTCTGTTTCCGGCTCCCCACACCTTGCATTTCATTGCATGTGGCCATCAGGAGTCCCTCCAAGGCCGTGGGCTTGTAAGGTCAGCCTGAACCTGGGGAGGAAGAGGGACCTGGAGCTGTTTCCGTTCCGTGGCGGCTTTAAAAATCCTCAAAATCCGGCCACAACCGAAGGAAGCGCAGGGAGACGGAGAGAAGAAGGAAGTGGCGGGAAAGGGCCGATTTCTTTCGTTTGACCAAGAGGGCTTGTTTTCAGTGCATCCCGTGAGGCGGAGGGAACTGAGGCGAGAGTTTTCCATGCAGAAGCACAACTCCTCCCTCCTTGGTCCAGTTTAGCTCCTTCAAGGAGAGCAGAAATATCAAAGAGACTCAGTGGGCACCCGTTCGGGAAGGTCCGGCACGTGAGGCAACCTGTTTTCCCCTTCTGCCTCATTCCTTCCTGTTGAAGAGGATCATTTGGGAGCAAAACCTGTGGTGGCTGCTTCCTGCCCAGAGGCTGAGGAGCGCCAGGCACACCGTTTCCCCTGCATCCACACGCCCAGGAGCGACAGCCGGAGGATACGGGAAATCTCCAAGGGGCGAAGAGTGGCGGCTGCAGGTCAGAGTGTCGGCCCTTCCCCGGGTGACACTGGGCTCAATGGTTTTAGAGAAGCAAAATTAAACGGTGTGTTTTCTGGAGCCGAATGCAGCTCCACGTTAAAGAGGGAGTTGCTTCCCACCTCTGGCTCCCCCCTTTTTTTTTCCTCCAGAACAATTATGTCGGGAGCATCGGTGGCATCCAGGGAGACCAGGTGTGGGGGTTTTGATCATCCTCCTCGCAGTGCTGTTGGGATCTTATGTACAAAGTGGAGGGTGGGAGTTTATCTCCCATTTGTGGGGGTGGGGAGGAGAGGGATGCAGGAGCGTGCCCTTTCAGTTCTGGTGCCTCTTCATGTGCAGCGCCAGGTGGTCGGAACGGGAGAAGCATCGCCCGCAGGCCAGGCACTTGAACGGCTTGGCCCCGGTGTGCTTGCGGTAGTGGCGGGTGAGCTCATCTGATCGGGCAAATCGCCAGTCGCAGCCTTCCCAGGAACACTTGTAGGGCTTCTCACCTACGGAGAGGGAGAGGGAGGGGGAAAAAAAAACCATCAGAAGACTGGCACATTGCAGCCCCCTCCGCAATTCTGCAGGAGAGCCCCCAAAGGGAAGGAAGCCTTCCGTAAACAAGGAAAACGGTTTCTGTTCAAATAACAAGTCATTCTGCTAATGAGATGATGGAGACAGAGAGAAACACCCAAGGGAGGCAGGCAGAGTCTTTACCGGGATGATCTGCTGACCCAGGACATGCTTGTGACAAGACCGGGCGAGCAGAGGTGCTGAAGGCATGCAGGGAGCTGACAAGGGAGATGCAACCAAATAATTTGCCCCCCCTCCAAAAAACAACAACACACGTTCTGTTACACAAGCAGCAAACTCACGAGACTCTGCTCACACCATTTCAAGCCCTGCTGTTATCAAAGCCAAACATTTCCAGTGAGCAGGCAAGCTGGCAAGATCCTGCACCTTGCCAGAGGTGCCAGGGGAGCAGGCTTGGAGAGGAGGCAATGTGCCCCCCAGTGCTCCTTCACGCGGCTTCTCTCCAAGCATGACCCTTGGGCACCCTTGCCTTTCCATGCTTGCCACACGTGGCTCCCTGCAGCTGCCCCCCCCCAAATTCATCGTGGTCTGGGGGCGCACAGGCAGTGTTTGCTGGGTGCCAGCTCTGCTGGCCTCCCGCGCTTGCACACAGCCATGCGCTTCTCGGTGAAGGGGAAGGAGAACGGGAGCGCTTTGGCGCAAGGGGCCACCAATCGCAAGAGGCCAAGTCCTGATGCTTTCATCCTGTTTCCTAACGGCTCCTGCTTTGCCATTCTGAGAGCCCCTGCCCAGGAGGCGTAACTGGGAAAGGGCTGGCTGCCCAGTGGGCTTCTTCCCTGCAGAGCCTCGCTGAGTGGCTGCCACGCACTGGGGTGGAGCCCCTCAGGCCTTGGGCCAGATGCTCTCCTCCCAAGGTCCAAACCTGCCCTTCTAGACTCCTTTCCCCGTGGGAACGGCCCCCTTCCCCATGACCCTCTCCTCCGGAGAAACCCTTCCCAGCCTTTCTGCATCCCGTCCTACAAGTTCCAAAGAGGAGTCTAGAAGGGTAGGTTTGGACCTTAATTAATTAGTTTCCCACCTCTGGCTCCCTTTTTTTCCCTCCAGAACAACTATGTCGGGAGCATCAGTGGCTCCCCATGGGAACAGCCCCCTTCCCCATGACCCTCTCAATTAGTTACGGTAAGAGTTGGAAGCTTAAAGAGGCAGCTCTTTTGCTTCTTTTGAGGGCCCCCCCTCATTTGTCTTCATCTGCCCAACACTGGCAGGTGATCCCCCAAATCTATCTGAAACGGCATCCGGTCAGTGGGCTGGAAGAGGGTCCCTGCATTTGCTGGACTCCACTGTCTATTAATCAGCCCTCCTCTAAGCCCCCCCCCCAACAACAAAAACTAAAACTGAAGACTTGTGGCACCCTGAAGAGTAGCAGATTGATCCCAGTGCAAGCTTTCGTGGACTGTCGTTTCCTTCTGCCCCCCCACACAGAGCAGTGTTCAAGCTACAGGTTCATAGTGCAGGTGGTGGAGGCATAGAGCAAGGCCACACTTCCTCCATGGAGGAGCACTCAGGGCTGCGCTGAGCCCCTTCCAGCCCCTACCCTCTCCTCTGAGTAACCCTGCGAGGTAGGCAGGGCTGAGAAATAGCCATAGCCAGGGGTCATCCAGCAGAAGCAGAACTGCCCTGGTCAAAGGTGGGTGTTTGCTTTGTCCACCCAAGATGGACATGAACGTGTGCCCAGTCCATCTCTGCACCCAGTGTGTTCCTCTTAAAAAAACAAAGCAAAACAGAACAGAACCAAAAACACCTGCCTCACAGCGGCGCAAGGAGAAACACACACATCCTGCCTAGCAGGTGCAGAGCAGGTCAACGTCTGGATCAGGCCAGAACAAAGAGGAGCGCCTTGGCCTTGGGCACGGAAATGTCGGTTTATGACTCCATTAAAGAAGAAATTCTGAGCCATTTACGAGCAGCCCGTGGAGAATTTTACAGCCTCCCCAGGAACATACAAGGTGGGTGGAGAGCTAAATTTGCAGCTTATTTTCAGCAGGTTGCCAAAGACGAGGGCCCTCTTGCTCGTCCCCGGTAGGGTCAACAGTCCGCTTTGGACAATGGCCGAGCTGGGTGCCAGGAGGGGAACCAAAGGCTTTCCCTGGTCCCCGATGGGCTCCTGCTCCCCGGGCAAGATGGCAGGGCAGCTCCAGACAGTGGCTCCGGCAGCCCTTCCAGGCCCATCCGACCAGGGACGCCAATGTCCCCTATTGAGTCTCCCAAGGCTGTTGCAGGGCCAACGCTGGCTCTGACTGTGAAGCCCCAGAAGAAAGAAAACAAAACGGTTCCCCTCTTGCAACGTCCGACAGCAGCAGGGCTTGGGGAACTGCGCTTGTAAAAAGGAACTCATTCTCATGGTTCCTTGCCATGTTTACCAACTGGACGCCATTTGCTGTGCTTGCAGTGTGTGGAAAGGCAACTTTTAGGAATTCAAACCCAGCAAGAGATGTCTCTTGCCTTATTCTTTCTGTTCTGCTTTTTTTTTTTTTTTTTTGGACACTTAAAAAAAATTACTTCTGGCATAGATCTTGAAAAAAAAAATCTCTGCCCGGAAGCCTTTAAATTTGCCTTAAATGGGTCTTTAAATTTAATATTTCGAAGTTCCTGAGAAAATGAAAAACCAAATGAATAACTCAGAAGGAATGAGGACACCATGCCCCATCCATAAACTAGTAAGGTCCGTCTTCCTCCATTCATGGCAATCTTTTTACAAAGTGCCCCCCACCGCCCTCCAGTCATCGTTGGCTTCCATGATTTGCCTGGTATCCCTTGCCAGAGAAGAGAAGAGAAGAGAAGAGAAGAGAAGAGAAGAGAAGGAGAGGTTCAGGGAAGAGGCCCGCACTGTTCACTAGCCCCTTCCTGTCCTTTGGGGGCTGTGACAGTTCCATCTTTCAAGCCTCCTGCCTTGCTGACAGAAGAGGGAAACCAGGGTCCGCCCTGGCTCACTGGCCAGTGTACTGACCTCTTTCTTGGCTGCAGCCATCAGCAGGTCCCTGAGCTATCACGTGCACGATACAGGTGCTGCTGGACTCCAAGTTCCATCAGCCCCAGCCAGTACGGCCACTGGTAAGGAAGGATGGGACTTGCCACTTGACAGCCTCTGGGAGAGCCTCACTTTCCTAGCTAAGCACTTAGGAATGACCCCCCCCCCGCCCAGAAACAAAGACCCTATAAAAAGCCATTCACTCAACACACAAATCACTCTTTTGAGTTGCAAGCTAATGCTGTGGGGGAGGGGAGGGGAGGGGACATGCTGCTCTACAATAAATCCCCTCCTTCCCCCACACACATCATCCTCAACATTCACATACCTGTGTGAGTTCTCTGGTGTGCCTTCAGGTGTGAACTTTTGGTGTAAACCTTTGTGCAACCTGCAAAAAAACCAAAAGGAGGATGAAGGGGAGGAAGGATGAAATGCCCCTACCACCCGCAAAACAACAACAACAAAACCCACCCTCATTCTTATTGGCAGCAGAATTTCCAAGTCAACTTGGCTGGAATTTTAGCCTTGCCTAACAATAAGCCCTGTTTGTCTTTAAACCCATCCAGTTGTCCTTGTCGTCCTCTTCTCTGCTCCACAAACACACCCACCCACCCCAAAGGTAACTGGGTAATGAAAACTCTGGTGGCCTCTTGGAGACTGACTGACGCCTGTATTTGAGCCTCAGCTTTCACGGGTCATAATAATCGGCAGTTCAGATGCAAGAAGAACTTCTGTGGGGTTTGCTGAGGCAAGCAAACGAGGCTCCCCCGGGCACATTCCCCGGACCCTGTTCCAGACAGACCCCAATTCTCCCGCCCGCCGCTCAGCTCCCGCGGCCTCCTCACCGGGGTAATGGCAGTGGTGGATCCGCCTCTTCTCCAGCTCTGGGTTGTTCCTCCGGTTGTATTTCGGGGCCTGCAGGACGACAGCCCCGTGGGAGAGGGTCCCAAGGCCATTTGGAAGGGAGGGGAGCTGGCCAGGCGGGGCCAGCTTCAGTCCGAAAGCAGCATCGTAGGGTGGCGGAGGCGAAATGGTGCTTATTAGCTCGGGTTGGTTCTCTGGGCTGCCAGGCTGTGAGTTGGGGGGCGACGGGGGAAGGCTGACCCCTGGCACGGGGTAGAACTCCCCGGTCAGGTTGAAGCTGCCTGGGGAAGCTGCTTGGGGGAGAGGCTTGGCCTGCCCCCCTGGCCGGACAGCCCGGGACAGGGGCCGGGAGTCCAGCACAGAGCTGCCAGTGGACATGGCCACACCAGTAATGGTGCTGATGGCGGTGGTCCCACACGTGGAATGCGCCATGGTGGTCATCTCCCCGCTGCTCCCGACCGGCAGTTGGTAAAGCAAACCGGGCTGCGGGCCTGAGGCGAGAGGGGGTTCGGAGGGCATTTCTTGCTTGACAAAGATGTTGTTGACGGCCACCGACTGAGGCAGGCTGAAGACGCTGGTGAAGTCCGGAAGAGTCTGGGTCGCTCCGGAGGCGGAAGAGCAGGGCTGGGCAAAGACGGTGCCCGGCTCCATCTTGATTTGAGGAAAGGGCACGACGGGCTTGGAGGGCCGATAGAGCCCCGTGCGCAGGTGGTTGGTGTCCGGCAGGATCAAGTTGATGTTCACGCTGTAAGGCGAGGAAGGGGGCTTCTCGGTGGAGAAATACTCGTCCACCACAGAGGCGCTCTCACGGCGGTACTTCTTGTCTGCCGACACCATGGGCACCACGGGGAGCGCGTGGCCGGAGAGGTACTTGTCCATTTCGGAGCGGGCCTAAAGAGGAGGCAGGGAAGTGGAGAGTTCAGTCCGAGAGTGGAAAGGATGCTTGCTAAGATCACACGCGCAACAGGAGAGCAGCTCTTGGCCCTACCAGGTCTGACGGCCCTCCCCAGAACACACCTGCGGGGCACCCCTTCGCACAAATGGTGATGCACGGTGAGATCAACTTGCAGCCGAAGCCTACAAAGAGGCGCAGATAGAAAAAGACCATGTGGGGTAAAAAAGGCCCAGTCAGACCATAGATGCCCCCCCCACGATCTCATTATACTTTACAACAGCAATTCTATCCGACACTGTTCCTCGTGGGGGCTGCAAAACACGGGGAAAGGGGGCTTCAGTCTTTCCTGCCTGCTCTTCCCAAGTAAAATCCAGAACTTGGGAAAGTGTTTATTATCTCACCCGGCAGCCCCCAGATTCCCCGCAGCCAGGATGGACAGCTAGTGGGAGGATTTGGGAAGCGCTGCTCCGGAAATGACACTCTTTCAGCCTTTGCCCGATTTTGTCCCATTCTAGCTGCTGTTTGGGGCCAATAAATCTTCTCTCCCAGGGTGACCAACCCCTCTGTGGAGTTTCATCAGGCTACTTTCCCACTATTCCTCACTTCCAGGGAGGGAGGATAGAAAAGGCACCTGTTAAGGGCCGGACCCTTTGGAGGGCACTTAATCACAGGGCTGCCGTTGGTTGGGGGGTGACTTAAGGGCACACCACCACCACCACCACCACAACAACAACAACAACAACAACAGGCTTGATCTGCTGCCTGGGGAATTCTGGGGGTTGTAACAGTAGTCCAAAAAAAGACGAATCTGCAGAAACGACTTCTTCTAAGAAGTACTTCTTCTGGAAGTACCACATGATGATCATCACCAGGACCCCAATCTCGTCCTCCAAAACTCAGAAATATTACTCGTTTTGGACTAGAGCAGTGCTGGCTGGGCAATGCTGGGAAGCGTGGTAGAAAAAGAGGGATGGGCTGGGGCCCAATCCTGCTTGGCTCTTTGCCTTCTTACCCAGGAAGGACCTTGGAGAGTGCTTTTTTTAAAAAAAGGGGGGGAAACAAAACTGGATCGAAGTGCAGGGCCTCCCTGCCAAAGCACCCCTCGCATCCCCTGAAAACCTTCATATAATAACTTTGTGCTTTTCCTGTGAGGAGGGCAGTGAGGCTGGGAGGCCTCCCACAGGCAGGCAAGAGG